GTTTTCTTCCCTATTTTCTATACTTTGTTGGAGGATAAAGTCTCTAACTCCAGTTTCCAAGCCCCTTTGCTCTGATTACAATAAATCTTTTTGTTTAGAACCTCAAATCTCTATATTTTTTTTCAAAAGTTTCTTGAGGCTGTTACTAAAGATCTAAACTTGAAGCAGTGGAAAGTAAGGGAACATATAACCAGATCAACAACTCAGGCAACTACCGTGTAACATACATATTATGTATATATAGTATTATAAAACATATGCATCATATAACATTTAAATATTCCAGTAATTATGGCTAGTCTGGTCATTATGGTTACTCCATCTCATCAGCATAAAGTTCAGAATTCTTAATATGAGGAACATAAAATCCCAAACCACCAAAGACATTCCACAAATGCAGACAATGAATATATGAGGATAGCTGGTATAAGGAATCCCGTCTGCCTCTGTTCTTTTACTCTGCCTTAGTTGCCATTGATATATGACATGCTATTTAATTACTACAGCTGTGTCTGTATTTATTAGAAAATATAGTATCTTCTGATCAGTAGTCACTATACTTTATAGGTATAGCCAAATCAGATGAGTTATTCCTTCTAGTAATTGCTGTTTTTCAGCATTTAATAGCTTAATCCCTCCCTTTTACAGTTACATATGGAGTTTTTTTCCTTGTCAGTTAATTCTTGATGAGGCTAAATACATACTTACCTGGGTGATGATAACAGAATTTTACAAGTCTGTTACACTTGAAGGTTTTGAAACAGAACTGCAAAAGGCTAACATGCAAGATGAACAGACCTGAGGTTTGTAAGCATGAAGACCAGCAGATAAATCCTACTTCACACTTCCAAGCAATATACGTTGCCTGTGCACTGGAAAGTTTACACCACTTACAGATATTTGGGTCAGAAATACCTATTCGTGTCAGGAAATTATGTGGGATTAATGGATGCTAGAATCTGGAAAACAAATATAGCTGAGTTGGTTCTTTTTCTCCTCCTCAACAAAGGCTCAAGCATTTCACAAACTTCCCAAACATCCACTTAATGTAGGCCTTCCCTTCTAAACTTCTTGTACTTTTTTTTTTGGTGGTGGGGTTTTTTTTGTTTGTTTTTTTGTTTGTTTGTTATGTCACATCTCATCTCATCTTCTGCTTGCCCTGACTGTTGCACTCACTGCCTCTTTTCACAAGTGTTTTCTGGCTGCTGCACCTAGTGAGCTTAAACAGCACTGGCATTACAGGTGAGTGCAAAACCCTGACTGGAACTAGAAACCGTGCATTGTGGTACAAGGCCAAGGCAGAAGTATGTCTGAGTTGTCTCAGCATGGAGTCAGCACAGGTCAAGGGGAGCTTATTCCATGAGCTCCACATTTCCACAGTGAGTACAAGAGAAATGTGCCTCAACAGTTGGAAACCACTGACAAAGGCACCAAACCAATCTGTTGCTGAATTCACACCAACCCTCACGCTTGTTTCTGTAAACTGTGGCACAGGACCCAAACACTTCTGATGAAAAAAAGGCAGCATTTGTTAGAGCAGCTGACAGATAGATTGTCTGGACAATAGTAGATGCTGTTAAAAACTAAGGGTTCAGCCTACCAGGCTTGTGAAAAGAACACACAAGTTTATTTTGATTTTTATGTCCACCAATTAAATTTTTTTTTTGCAGTTTTATTTCGTTTCTCCAGAGACACTCTTTTGGAATAGGTATCGCAAGCTTATTTTTCTTCTATAAAATACACTATTTGTGAATATTTGGGGGAATGGACACTCAACATTTACAGTATTTCTGAGTGAAGCGTTTGTATCAAGACAATTGTTACTGTCCTTTTAAAATTAAATTAGTCTTTGACAAACTGATACGCACCCATGTTTTGTTAACAGAAATACTATAAAAGCTAAGTCAAAATGTTTCTGTAATTACAGA